TACATTTCATGGTCCTTTCAATAAAGCCATAAAAATGGTAGGTCACCGCTAAAACAAAAAAGTTTTTCAATCGCTCCGTCAGACCATGTCCTCAGAAAATGTCTAAAATTTGCCCTGTGTCCCATTGACCTTTGACCTTCAACTTCCAATTTCGGCACAGTGATGGCCAGTCATGGTTTCCTACCATGATGCTATACACCAACTATCACGAGCCTAGGTCGAGCCGTTTAGAATTGAGCCGCATTTCTGATTTTCCTTCCTATACCTTAAGTTAAGGAAGGAATGTTCCCCCTTCTTTTACACCTCTTGTTGACCTTTGATCTTTGAGCCCCAGCTTCGACATCCCAACTCGTTTTCGGATTACCCCCCCCCCACCCTCGTCCTGATTTTCGAATCCGTACGTCAAGCCGTTTAGATTTGTGCCCAACTGTTGACGGACGCACGGACGCACAGACGCACGCACGGACGATCATGCGATTCTACAAGCTGCATCTGACTATGTCAGATGAGCTAACAACTTGGATCAAAGCATGTGCCATACCACTTGCTTTGTAAGTCTCATACATGTGAACGGTCTGATGTAGACAACCTCACGACCATGGCTGCCATTGAAGACAAGATTGGCCTTTGCAAACTGATTGTGCAGAGAGAGAGCCAGCGTTGAAGTAATTTCTTCGGCAAAATAAATGATCAATCTGTTGTTGTAACTGCTCTTCTAAAGCTCGTATCACATGAGGAAGATGGGAAGACAACATCACTAGTAGAACAGTTTGACTTGATTCTAGAGGTGGCTGTGGTACACTAGTCGTTTAGCCTCTACAACGAGAAACGTTTTAATAGACTCGGATACCAGGCAGGTGCGGTCTATGATTGCATTCCTTTAAATACCTCAAACAAATACTTTTGCAGACACCGCTAAATAATATTCTTGTTCTAGCATGTAAGATTTATCTTGAGAACGATTTCATAACAGCAGGATTCAAAGCACTTGCTAATTTTACGTACAGGGGGACAGTGAAAAAAATACACGGGGCCTCGGGGCGATTTAGCCCCCGAAATGCCGAAAAGAGCCCCGGAAATGCCAAAAAGAGCCCCCGGAAATTTGCATAGAGTTCAATGCAAACCAAATTTTAGAGTGCAAAAAGAAAGTGAGGGCCAATGATTTTGTTGACCAACTTCTTGTGAAATGTAAAGAACACGGAGGACATGTTACATCTGTCTAAGAACGGAAGGCGCTTGTCAGTAAATGAAAGTGTCAATGACACTGTAGCTCACCACAAAAAAGGACATAAATGAGTGAGTAAGAAGAAGTCAGTTTTAATTGAGCAACCATCGACGTACATTATAGAAATGATTGCCATCTGTATATCGCAATAATAATTTATAAACCAAAATGAATCACAATTTGTGACCGTAGATGGCGCTATACCCGCTTTGTAGCGATGGCGTTTGAAATAAATAGGTTATGCTGCGTTCCGACATGTTTTGTAAATCTTTACTCTAATATAGACGTTTTATTGGCAGGGTGGAGAAGAAATACCAATTTTGCATTAAAGATATTGTCAATGAAATCTTGTAAAACGAACCAGACGAGTATGACACCACAGACTGTTTGTGTCTATATACTATGCTATATAATTGCCAAACCCTACCTAATTTGCTTCTTTTTTTTTTAAATATCAAAACCCCTAGCCCTTATTCATTCACATACCAAAAATGAGCAAAATCCGTTGAACCTGAACTGACTAATGGCAATTTCCATTTTTCCCAAAAAATCGCCCTGGCTCGAAAGTACGCCGACTGGCGTGCTCCAAAATAGGACGTTCCATATGGGAGTATAGCAGTAACAACTACATCCAATTTCAAACATGTGGGTCAAACGGTTCCTGAGTTATCGTTGACCAAAACCAAATGTTGACGGACGGACGGACGGACGTACGACGACCCATGGCAATAGCTCAGCTTGACGATGTCAAGGTGAGCTAACCGGACGGACGGAGGACGTACGACGACCCATGGCAATAGCTCAGCTTGACGATGTCAAGGTGAGCTAAAAACCACCTGAGCTAAAGACCTTCTTGAGGCAAGAGATCCAATACCAGCGAATCACACATCAACTGGATCAGATATCTGCAGGGACCTTTACAAGGTCAACAGACTGTCTGAGAATGAGATGATTGAGAACTGTGATCCTTGGGGACGACTACCAAGCAGAGGAGGCGGTGGTGTTTCCGTGTAAGGAGGAGATAATGGAAACACTGGTAGGAGCCAATACCATTGTTCAAGAGGCAGAGGGGATCTCTCACTCAGGAAGAATCTGTGTTGCAGCCCAACCAATCACTTGCTGTTATCTGGGATGAGGGGGGCAACAAAAAATGGTATATTGGGCTTTAAATTGATGATAATGGGGACGGAACCTTCCGGGTGGATCACCTGATGCGCGCTGGTACTGGAGATCAAATTTGGCAGTGACCACCTGGCACTGATGATATCCAGGACACTATCGAGCAGTAGATTGTACCTGTGGCAGTTTCAGGAACCTGGGACTTCTATGAGGAAGCTGTGTTTTGTTTTAAGTAATGGCCCTGAAATCCAACATACCTTTTTGTGAAATATGCTAATTATAAGGTTAGATTTGGCTCCATAATGTATTTCTTGACTAGTAATTGTGCTTTTATAATTTCCTAATTATGTTTATGGCTTAATGTGTCCTAAATAACAACAGAATAACTTTTCAGATAAAGTCTCTACTCAAAGCCGAACCTGAGATATGAGAGAAACTCTAAAAATCCACTCCCGCCACAAAAATAAGGTATGATGACAGAAGAAGGCACTGCACACTTTTTTCTTGGACCCCAGCCCCAGGCCCACAACAGATTGATCATTTATTTTGCCGAAGAAATGACTTCAACGCTGCTCAAAGGCTCTCTCTCTGCACAATCAGTTTGCGAAGGCCAATCTTATCCTAAATGGCAGCCATGGTCGTGAGGTTGTCTGCATCAGACCGTTCACATGTATGAGACTTACAAAGCAAGTGGTATGGCACATGCTTTGATCCAAGTTGTTCTGCAACACCTGTCTCTATCTTGAGAATTTTGCTCACAGCATCTGTCATCAGAGCATCAATCTGCTCCCAGGGATGTACAACAGTCCAGCTAGGGTCATTGGCAGCTATCTGCAGTCTCTTCAGGGTCTCAACAATAAGTGCCATTATCTAGTCCCTCTCTTCAAAAGCAAAGAAGAGAGGACTTAGAGAGATCACGGCGTATCCGCAGCAACCTTTTTAGTTTCCTATGGGAATTATGTGGTTAAATTTGACCCCAAAATATATTTTTTGACCAGTATTTGTGCTTTTAATTTTATGATTTTCTAATTATGTTTATGACTTTATGTGTCCTAAATAACCCCAGAATAACTTTTTATATGAAGTCTACCCAAAGCAGAACCTGAGATATGAGGTTCGCTCCCCTCTCGCCACAAAAATAAGGTATGGAAACACAAGAAGGCACTGCACACTTTTTTCTTGGACCCCAGGCCAAAATTTTTGTCATTTCATGTTAAGATAGGTAAAATAAAACAGACAAAAACTCAGCCCTAATAAAAATTTAAAAAAAATCATTTTGGCCTCCGTATAGGCTATAGCCCACTCCTATTATTACCTCCGCGCAACGGAGGTCATGTAATCGGTCTCGTGTGTGTGTTCGTGTGTGTAGCGTTGGCGCGATCGATTCAGCAGCAGCTCGCCTTAGGGCGTCCAGTCAGCAGCAGCGCGTCCAGTCAGCAGCAGCCAGCAGCGAGCCAGCTGTTATACACATGTATACATGTTACACGCTCGCAGAGGTATGCACTCTCCGTGAGTGCCCTCTGTCTAGTTAGTTGAATTAATCTATATTCTACTTCAAAGTTAATCTTTGAAAATTTTATGATATACTATATAAAGTGGTAAATCAGGCAGTCCATACACTGATCTCTAGTAAAAGTATTATTCTTCCATTGCTATGGATCAAGATTCAAGGAGATAGATATAGAGCTAGATATATCTAGCTCCTTGCTATGGATAACTATAAGGCAGCGCTGCCACCTAGTGTCACATTCAGCAACAACTGACTCATCACGAAGCACCAAGCTGCTTATGAAGCCTAATTTCACCAAGGAAACTTGGAGATTGCTCTTTTAACCTAATTACAATATTAATAAAAATTCACGTTTGAGTTCTGCTTCACTTCAGAACGCAGTCGCCTACAGAACGTAGTATCGTAAATATGAAATATTTTTGTCCTGAAAATGGTATCCCTGAATTATTTCGTGGTAATTAAAATGCATTTAGTGGAGTGCTAATTAACTATCCAATCTAAGTTTAATAATGATTTAATTCAGGTATAAGTTAACATTTATCAGAATTTTTTTGAAGTAAATTCAGATGGGTAGAAATAGAACTGGAAGTCATAAAATTCATTTAACAAGGAAATAATATGGTCAGAGCCACATAATATGGTGAGTTCACTGCCCACACCAACTGGTAAATTGAGTCACTCTTAGCCTCTAGTAACTTCTCAAGTCAAGGCTGTGCCATTTTTCAGCAGAGTTACCAAGATCAAAGATGGAAATCAATTTTATTTGAAAAGTTCGAGGCTTGTGATGCCTCATCGATTGGTTCCCAATTTACAGTCGCAGCAAAATGATGTTAGGAACTAAAGATGTAGAAGGCGGCTGAAGGCCATATTAAACCTTTGTCAAAAAAGCTGTCAACTAATACAATTAGTTTATTACCGAACTACTGCTGGTTACAAAATCAATTTGTCAATTCACTGTGACTAGTGGCCAATGACGGTGCACTTCTCATACAGAATCGGCTCAGACCAACAAAATAAGATCTACCACGCGTCCCTATAGCGTACTTGACTTGAGATAAATGTTTGCACATCCTTGTCAATGTCCGGCACGATACCGCGGTTACGAGCTCGTGTACGCAGCGTGGCTTCAGATAAAGTGAGACGCACCTTCTTCACGTAGCTGGCAGCATCCTCCTCGGTGTAGACCTCCGCGCTGACTGCTCCACGACGACAACGCCCCTTGGTGGGAGGCTGCGTTGGCAGCGGTGACTGCTCATCGCTGTCATCCTGTAGAGGCGACGTCGTCTTCTTAGACCGCCCCTCCTGAGAGTAACAACAGATGTTATCAGGTTGATACGCCATATATAATACTTTGTCGCATTCCTGTCCCTCCTGAAAGTAACGCTAAGTAAGATGTTAATGACAAATGCTAGTGACACAGTCACTCTCATGTACACATTACTCCAAGTTCCAAGATGATAGCTGTTAAGTTACATGTAGACAATCACCCACATAGACTCCTTGCTCCCTAACATTCATTGACAGACGGGGAACAAAAGCATCATATGAATGACATCCGTCTAACGCTGTGTCATTGAAATGAATTGTTCTGCACTGCATGACCTATGGCACAACATAAGGCCTGCACACACAGTACTATTAGTATTACACCACTACTGGCACGTATAAACCATAACAAGAAATAAACACTACGTCAGTATAACTGTAGGTAACACAGGCACATACTTAGTTTTCATAGTACTTACACTCGGGCGCTGTGTCGCGTTCAACATAAAGATACGCAAGACAATGGAAATTGAGCAGAGTACGTTACACGGTAGACACACAGAGATGAACAATGCATCCGAGCCGACAATGTTATTCGACAGCGTCGAGGATAATAAACAACAAAAGATAATCCCCTCTACGCGGATTCGGTTGCTATGACGATTCGCTCCTCCACGAGCACGCCTGCATCTGACATCTATGGCGTATGCACATTATAGCATGAATCTCTCGGCTAGTCTGTAGTGATCACAGCAAGCATGCAGAGAATTAGCCTGACCAATCATGGACACGTCTCCCCATTAAATATGTGAATGCGATGCAAGGGGTCACCTACCAACCTCAAATTGCTCGCAAGATAACACAGCGACACGCATTAATGACAGAAACTACTACCCAGCCGAGAGAAGCGTAATAGTACCCTTTTACAGCTGTAAACGTAGACTTAGTTACATGTAGAAGTATAACCGACATATTGTTATTCTGGCTTGCTTTATACATGTATTCATGAGCAGATATATATCACATACAATATGTCAGATCACACATTTACATTATGCTATTTACATTATTAGTCAGCCAAAATAAAAACAGACAGCTTTTTAGTCGAGGTATAGAGATAGGAATATATACATATTGTGTACCACACATTGCAACCTAAGTATTTCCACAGCAGATTGGCCAATGCCTATTGGTTAGCTGTGCAGACATACAGTATAGCTACTACAACTCATGGATGTAGGCAGTGCATTGAGCATGCAATGTATACATGTGTACCGCACAGTCAACAAATGCCAAAAACAGCTGCCCGGCTTACTCTTGATTAATCACACAGCATTACACTGTAGCTCTGCCAAGCATGTGATGCAAACTCGGATTCAGCTCTACACACAGCCTCAAGAATGATTTCCCAGCCACAAGGTCTAATGCTTTTCACATTTTCATAGATCTGCCCACATGTACCAAGCTGCAAATAATATCAAGTGTGGCAAAATCGCAATTGAATGGTATATATAATCATTAAGAAATCACATATATAGGAGTTAAAGCCAGGATTTCGATAATAATTTTTGACCAGTTTCATGTTTCCCCACTTTTACAATACTTACTGTTATTGCTTGAGTTACAGCAACTGTCTAGAGTAATGCTAACATGCCTTAGAACCTTCAAACTTAACTATATTCACCAAAACATGCAAGATTTGCATTTTGATTACACGTTTTGATTTCTGCTACTACGTCTAGCGCAGCTAATATTTTTTAGCACCTAGTTCACTACACAGAATCAGATGCACTTTTGTTGGAATTAGGTGCACTGTGGGCGCAGTTGTTTTAAAAGCTCTATTTGCAAATTAATTGTTGCTATATAAACATATATGCCATGGTGTTACGATGTGTTTAATTCCATTTTGCTATGCTATAACAGCATAAAATCTGTTTTTCAAATCGGTGTAATCAGTAATATATCTGCTATTAGGTGGGACTATATTTTGGTCAATTTTTTTCAGATTTTTCATTTTTGAGCAATGATTTCGAAATAAATCCCTTAAAAGTGATTTATTTCTTCATGAATTTCCCACCTTTCTCTTTGAACCTTGGCATCAGTAAAATAGGAAATGTATACCTTGCCGAATTTGCTTCATAAGCTTGCATTTTGCAAGCTAAGCTTGTAATGAAATTGCTAGATGATTGCTCTCATACTGTCACAAAGCATGGCTCCAACGGATACCATAATAAAAATCTAATTTCGACCCCTGGAATTGGTATGCTGGGGTATTAATTCTAAGAAGGCAGTAAAGGAGGTGGATCACTAACAGATGTCTTCAATTAAATTTTTAAAATTGGTAACCTGACATGGTTATCATTTTTTCCTTCATTGAAAATGGCTTATTCACCTCAACTTTAAATAATATATAAAGAGCTGACATAATATTGCTTTGATTTATGGCATTGCTATTGCCCTTTAACCAATGACCTCTAGCCCGTAAGGTTAAATGATTTTTAGCTTGCTCTGCTATATAAATACATATACAATATATACATACAATTTACAAGATTTGAATACTGTAGCAGAGCAAGTGTGATAAACCAAGAATTATATAAGCTCTACAAATAAGCTATAGTATATCCTACAACTTGCTGTGCCAGGGATCTGGTCGTTTACTGTTTGTTGTTCGCAGTAGCTCATGCTCCTGTAACCGGAGCGGCAGTTCTTTTGGCTCGTGCTCCGGCAATCCCAGAATGTATTGCAATGTCATCAAGTGAGCATATCCAGCGGAACGCAGAAAATGGCGGCGTATTTTGGTTTGATGGAATATCAAAATGTAACATTTTTTCAATATTATCATAAAGATTCACAGACCATTAATGCTGATAAGAAAAGAGTACCGAAACAAGTGGAAAATGGCAACGAAAATTTGAAGTATTACACTGTGAACTACGCCTGTGTTTTTGGAGGAAAATGGTTCATTGCAAGAGGCACAGGGAAGAGATCAGATTGCATACAAGGTTCGTCTGCAGCCATTTTCTGCGTTCCGCTGAGAAATGCTCACTTGATGACTTTGCAATGCATTCTGGGATTTCCAGAGCACGAGCCAAAAGAACTCCCGCTCCGGTTACCGGAGCAGGAGTCACTGCGTTTGTCATTTTAGTCTGTTGGTTCAGTGCACAGGCACTTGGAGCGTTTCAATAAAATATAATGCTAAATAAATATGTAATCTATTTACTACCAAAGTCTTAATGTTTCTATACTCTCTTTCACCTATTATTGCCGACAATTTCCTGCAAATGCCATCCAAATGCTCATCTGCAACAAACGCTGGCTGCCGCCATGGCTGCTGCTGCACACTGACACATAAATATATAGCAGGTAGGAAAGCGTGCTGCCAAAATTCGCTCGACGCTCGCTTGATTTCACACGAATACAACACAAATATTCAACCATTCTACTCCATTTTTGTTTCTATTTGAAGAACAGTGTTCACTTGTTATAAAAACATACTGTCTGTGTTTGTAACCGATCTGTGTCACGCAAAATCACACAAAGCCTGACGAAATTCTCGCGTTCGCTCCCGTTGCGCAGTTTATGTAAATGGCTGTCAGAATCAGGAAACACCCACCGGCGCTCTTCGTGACCTCATTTTTGCGCCGCAATGCTGCAACGTTTTTGCAACGCTTCACTGGCGGCTTTGACGAGGCTCGTACGGGAGTTGGAAAGCAGCGTGGTAGTTTCCCAAACTGCAGTGCGCCGCGCCGCCTATAGCCCTGTACTTGCAGCAATTTACATAAACTGCGCAACGGGAGCAAACGGGAGAATTTCGTCAGGCTTTGTGTGATTTCGCGGGACACAGCTCGGTTACAAACGCAGACAGTATGTTTTTATAACAAGTGAACACTGTTCTTCAAATAGAAACAAAAATGGAGTAGAATGGTTGAATATTTGTGTTGTATTCGTGTGAACACACACATGTAAGAACTGCCCGAGGTCCGCAAGTAGGCTGGTAGGTGCTGTCCGTTTACATGACTATCTACTGTAATTAGTTTTGTTGTTCACACGTCATTTGCCGTTTGGTTCTAACCTGTACGAGGCAGTGAGTATTGGTGCAGGAACCGCACCGACCTGAGATACATGTGCTCAGTACGCCAGATAATTCAAGCTTCACTACATTTTCACGTGGTAAATATGGCTACATTACGGTTCTGCTGAGGGCATTGCTTTGGTAATACTTGTGGTGGTAACTTTGGTTAATTACATGCGTGTAGATTGTTATAATCTTATTACGTCAACTATTAACATTGTAATTTCTCAGTATTTAGTGCTACATTTCGTATGCTGGTGTCAAAGGCGCCATGTCGTTTGGAATATTTCTTACTGTTAGTATACAATAAGATCTTTGTTAGACGTGGTTGCACTTCTAACAGATATTTGCTACTAATGTGTCATTGGTACTTAATTTTGTCTCAAGCCGTGATAATGTCAGTGCAGGAAGGATAATACATTACGCTGTAGACTTTAATGTATAATTATATTGGATGAAATATCCGTTGTTACAGTCACAATACTCTCGCCACTCAGTGATCAGGATTGAGTTGATATAAAGGTTTAGCTGGTCTAAGCTGGCGAACGGTAGGTTATTGTATAATTGTTATGATCATATTAGTTACATGTTACTGATAATATTGTATACAGAATGGAATGTCATATTGTTAAAGAATCATGTTGAACGTATGTCAGAAGAATTGTCTCAAATGTATAGTAATGTCTGTTTGGTATAGTATAGTCCTGTACTTTATAGCTAAAGAAGACATTGTTAACCCTACTCTATTTAATTTTCTTTTGGTTTGTTTCTAGATTTTCACAGGTGTAAATAAACCCATCATATTACATCAGTAAGAAGCGTCGAGTACTGTTTTCTGTTGGAAGACGCAGCACCCTAAGTCGGGCGCTCATAGGTGCGCTAAACACACTGATGATCATGACTTCGTTAGACTGTGAGGCCAGTTGATTTATTTTTCTAGCGACTAAGACCGGTACAAGAT